GGGCAAGGATCCCGGGTGGGCCATCAGGAATGAGAGGAGGGGTTGGATGGGGGCAGCGGGGGTCCGGGGGCGGTCAGGGGACAGGGAGCGGGGGGGGGGGAGGATGGAGCAGGGGTCCCAGAGGGGCCGTCAGGGAACAGGGGGATTGGATGGGGCAGGAGTCCCGGGGGGGCGGAGGGGGACAGATAGGAGGTGGGGGCTGGGCCACGACCCCCTCCCCTAACTGGCCCTCCATACAATTTACGAAACCCAATGCGGCCCTCAGGCCAAAATGTTTGCCCTCCCCTGGGCTAGAGCCTGGGCTCTGAACCCCATGAGTGGGGGTGACTCTCAAAACCCAGGCTCCAGCCCAAAGCAGACAGTTACGCTGCTATTTTTAGCCCCAGCCCAGCCCGAGCCCCACAAGCCTGAGTCAATTGACCTGGGCTCTGAGGCTTAGTGGAACTTTTTTTTTATTACATTGTGGACATAAGAGGCTAGCCATGAGTGAGATACATGGACACATATATGTACTAAATCAGTATATTATACTCAGCAGGCTAATGAATGCACCAGTTCAGAACATGTTCTGTGAATTGTCAAGTGTATCACTTCTGATCATGCTAGCATTTTTAGCAAATAATGCTAATAAAACCATGTCCCATTTATAACATGAACATATATTCTCCGAGTGCCTGACCAGTCAGGCAAAGAGCCTACTGCTACTCTTACAATCTTGCTGAGACAGTGTGCCCGAAGGAGAATGCAAATTATTCATTAAAATCCTACCAAAAAAAAAAAAAAGAGAGAGAAAGAGACAACATCAGGCATGGAAGAAAAATCACAGATCACAGAAATTTCAGGACGCTCCACAGTATTTGTTGCATTCTGTGAAGTTCTAAAAACTTTAAGCTTTCTTTAAAAATAACTGTCCTTTTTTTCTTTATAAAGACAAAGCTGTCCATGTGGACAGTTACTCTGAGGCAGGTTAGTGTGGGGTAGCTTTACACCCAGCTTGCCGTGAACAAAATGTTTGTGCAGACAAGCCCTCAGATGTGTCGTACCCAGATGTCCATGAGGAATATGGAACACTGTCTTTTTTTTAGTACAACTCAATGCATCTGTGTAGTGAGTCTACTAGCCATCATGTTAACCATTAAATCCAGATTGCCTCTCCCATGGAAAAAACTGCAGGAGGGAAGGAAAACTTGTCCAGGATCTGAATAATTTCATTGGCACTGAGGAGCTTGATTCCCCCACAACATGTCATGCAATGAGCAGTGGGGTTAGCCTTCAGAATCTGTACATTTTAAGGCACCTGCTGGAGGCCAGGGACCTCTGCCTTTCCATTCATTTTCTCCTTTTGCTCTCCCTGACTCCCAAGCAGCAAGGCTCTAGTACAGGGATTCTCAAACTTGGGGTCGGGACCCCTCAGGGGGTCACGAGGTTATTACATGGGGGGTCGCGAGCTGTCAGCCTCCACCCCAAACACTGCTTTGCCTCCAGCATTTATAATGGTGTTACATATATTAAAAAGTGTTTTTAATTTATAAGGGGGGTCACATTCAGAGGCTTGCTATGTGAAAGGGGTCACCAGTACAAAAGTTTGAGAACCACCGCTCTAGTAGACAAAGAACCCAGTCAGGCTCTTCTCAGAAGTCAGTGCAGCCTCAGGCTGTATTGAAGTTGTGAACAGATTCCCCTCAGTGTTGGTGAAGGATCCCTGTTCATCCCAGCCCCACTCAGCCATTCCTGGTTTATCCCAGCCTCTAGAACCCCAACCCTGTTAAGGGGTCTCTCTGAGGTGCAGTGGTAGAGGGAGGTTCCATAGATTCATAGAAGGGGCAGGAACAGAGGGTAGATCCGCACACAGATCTAGGGTGCATAGGGCAGGCCTACTTGAGGTTGTGTTAGTCATAAATTGTAAAAAGGAATGAAAAAAGATAAGGCTGACATTCCAGCCTGAAATCAAACCATTTTAAAACAAAACAAGAAAATCACAAGGCCATGATGACAAAAGCTCAGCTTCTGCACAAACATAGCTCCCATGCAGCGTCAACCAGGCAGCCAAGAGCAGAAGCTAGCACAGAGTGTCTGCCTTAGTTTAGAATTTTCAAACATATTTAATTCTGCATCAAAATCTTAATCCCACAAATTCTGCCAAATCCAAGATGGGGACTATAGCCGTATTTGTTGCTGTCTAGTTTCAACCCTGCTTCGCTGCTCTGTTCATGTGATTAGAATTTCCTGTCTCCAAATTCACCATTTTGCATGCATTTCTCTTTTTAAACTCTTTTATTTGAGGGAAGGGAACCAGTACCCTCTGCAGACATAAAATACTCCAGTATTGCCAAGCCCAAGTGTTCAAAAATCATAAAACAGGCCCCCAAAATCATGACATTGGCTTAAAAATCATGAAATTTAAAAAATAATAATTTGGGGTTCTTTTGATTTGCCTTTTGAGCCTTTAGGGTTCACATTTTCAACCTTTTCTCCTAACTGATGATGCCTAGAATCTTAGCTTTCATTAAAAAGAAAAATTAAGATTCTCTTATCATCACAATTTCATGAGCTGCAGTTCTCAGAAAAACATCAACTTCCATGAGAGTTGGCAATACTGAAACTCCCAGACAAGGTTTTAAAAACCAGGGGTTCTTGACCTTTTTCTTTCTGAGGCCCCCCAACATGCTATAAAAATTCCACAGTCCATCTGTGCCACAGCTGTTTTTCTGCATATAAAAGTCAGGGCCAGCGTTATGGGGTAGCAAGCAGGGCAATTGCCTGGAGCCCCACGCCACAGGGGGCCCCGTGAAAATAAGTTTCTCAGGCTTCGGCTTCAGCCCAGGGTGGCAGTGCTCAGAGCCCTGAGCTTCAGCCCCAGGAGGTGGGGCTTTGGCTCTGTGCCCTGGGCCCCAGCAAGTCTAATGCCAGCCCTGCTTGGCGGGCCCCCTGAAACCTGCTTGCAGCCCTCCAATGGGCTCCGGAGCCCTGGTTGAGAATTACTGCTCTAAACTATATGTAGCATGCCCAAGTCCCATAGCAAATAGGAATTAAAGCAAAAAGAAGAACAGGAGTACTTGTGGCACCTTAGAGACTAACAA